CTGGAGGCCGCCTCTTTCATCCCAGCTTGTGACACAGGTCATAAAGGGATACGAACAAAGGCATACAAGGACCTTGTGCCTACATGGCCTTCTGTTCCAGGGGCTGACCTCCCTGCTTCTTGGAGGCAACCCCCTGCTACCTTCCTGTTCAGTGATTACTCATTCTTTCTAAGTTCCAATGAATGCCTCACCTCTCACCAGTTTGTTATATCTGAAGAAAGTGTCACATTTCCCCCCATACTAGTTTATCTCTGGGATAAACTGTACTGTTTTTGGAGCCCTTTAAATATCTGTAAAGGAGTAAGTGGTTCAAGCAACCCTAGGAGGTAATGTGCAACTGGTTGGTGGACCTCACGAGAGAGGCTGACCGAGTGGCCAGAGACATTTGGCTCTTGGGAGGCATGAAGAATGACCTGTGCGCGGGGTCAGCAGTAGTAATGTGTGTGAAGAATGCACTATGTATCTTTTGTGGTCCCAGGCTTGCTTTGTCTTTAAATGTGAGCAAACCCCTCTCCCACCACCTGCTTTTCCTGTGGCTAGTGTTGCCTCTCATCAAAATATGCCATCCCACATGGCTCCAGAATCACTTTCAAATAGCTCCCTCTACATTAACATAAAATGTGTTTAGACCTCCACCAATGGGACCTATCTCTCATTCAGGAAAAAGGCAGAAACACTGGATCGGTCCTGGTATAATTCTCGCTCGTTTCTCTGGAATCCTGGAGTCTGGGTTATGAAGTCTCTTAACCCAGATGGAATGCACTCTTTGCTTGCCAGAGAGGGAGGGGAGCTATCTTTTGTGCAGTTGAAGATTCTCCCATGAAGTAAAAAACAGCTTAAATGGACCTTTAAGCATTCTTAGAGAGGGACCCCTCCTTTGGACTCAAAGGGAGGCAGTTACCGAGTTCAGTTTACCGAACCAGAGTGAGATCGTGGGCCAATGTTATGGTTCCAGCAAGGATTAGCTGTGCATCATTAAGTAAGTGATTCCCTCATTTGGAATTCATATATTCTCGCCTAAGAAAGAAGTGAGTTGAGTTATATGCCCTTAAGTCTTTTCCTGTTCTGGTGTCCTATTGGTGTGTGTGTGTGTGTGTGTGTGTGTGTGTGTGTGTGTGTATCTTCTTGAGCCCAGTGGAGAAATAATAGTTAAATTGAAGAGATCAATTTCAAAGCTATCATTTCCTCCTAGAAATAAAACACACTTTAAGTTTTCTAATCACCTCCCATATGTCACATTCTCCCTTGTAAGTCTGAAATTGACTTTTATGCCTGAAGGGCTTAAAGCCATCTTTCGATTTCTTCAACTTGAGAATCAACTTATTTTAGATGTTGGATACTGAAAGAAAAATCTCTAATAGCTTCATCATAAAGGCATCTTTTCTTTTATTCTGACTGAGAAAATGGACCCTTTTTGCAAAATGAGATTAAATTTTCAAAATATAATAATATCTAAAAATGTTTGTATACCTTAGCATATTATAAGTATCTTAGGCTTACCATTAATTAGTTTTGAGAAGAAAAGGTTAAACACAAGTGTAATTAATTTATTACTTTAACACCAGGTAGATGAATAAACAGTTTCCATGCAAACAGCAATTTTCATTAAACAAATGAGATAATTTTAAAATGAAAGGGTAAAATGGGCACAGAGTAGCTGTTCTCTGCTTATTTGCATGCATGATACACTTCTGGGCTGTAAACTGGAAGGATGTACAGAGATGAGGCTGGTGCTGATATGAGCTGCCACTGTTCTAAGACACCTTCAAGAATTCCCTTTCTGTTTCAGTGTTGAACTGTTTAGATGGCTATTACTTCATTTATATCTAAATATATAACATATATTAAAGATTAATGGGGAAAATGCTCAAACACTGTGGTTAAGATTCCATATGTTAATTATTTCATTTAATAATAACATAGCACTCTTATTCACTGGAAAATCACAACTACACACTGATCTTTACAAAAATTGTTTCAGTTACATTTAAATGAAGAAAGGATGGTACATTTTGGATCAAAGGAAAAAGGGATGAATTTTTATTAACAGACACAATTCATACACAGTCTACTTTTTTTTTTTTTGTACATAGTCTACTCTTAAAGAATCTTATTAGAAGAAGAGTCAGGAAGGCGTTAATAAATACAAATACAATTATTATTATACTAGAGGCCCGGTGCATGAAAATTCATGCAATGGACGGGGGGGGGGGGGGTCCCTCAGCCTGGCCTGCCCCCTCTCACAGTCTAGGAGCCCTCAGGGGCAGGAGGCGACCTGACAATCAGGGGAAGGCGATGCCCCATCACACCTCTGCTGCTGCCACTGCCAGCAGCGCAAGCCTTGGCTGGCCCTGGTTACCTAAGCCTCAGGTGACCCTGGACGGCTGGGCAGCCGCCATCCGAGGCTTGCCTGCACCTTGGACTGGCCCTGGGTGGCTGAGGGGCTGAGGGGACTGGGGGTCTCTGGAGGCAGGCACACGGAGCGGCTGGGCCTGCCTGGGGGTGGGCCCAGCCTTGCCAAGCCTGCTGCCCTGGCAGGGCTGAGAGGACTGGGCACTGCCATCTTGTGGTTGTGGGCGCTGCCATCTTTGAGGGCGGGGCAGTCAATTAGCATATTCCCTCCTTATTGGCTGTGGGTGCCACCATCTTTGCGACAGTGTGAGGGTCAATTAGCACATTCCCTCTTTATTAGATAGGATTTTTAAAAATGCAGATAACCCCAAATAATTATTTGCTTGGCTTTAGAATGCAATGTGTAATTTTGTAAAATTAAAACTTACAAGTCATTTGGCTTTGGCTAAAATGAAAATGAGTTTCCATTTTCTGAGGGTATAGTGATTGGACTTGTAGGTGTCTGCTGGGTGGTGATGGAAGAAAATGTTGATGGAGACTTCACCAATTAGTAAAGAAACAAAAAATACCTAACCAATGGACACAGACAACAGGGGGGTGAGGGCATGAGTGGGGGGGGGGAGCAATGGGGGGATAGAAAACATATGTAATACCTTAATCAATAAAGAAAAAAAAGAAGAAGAAAAAAAAAAGAAACAAAAAATAATTTTACAAAACCACACAAGCAAATAAATAACACTTTCTCCCAGTTTTCCAAATGGGAATGGGCCAATCCCAAACCAGGTACCATTTGTATAGTCTTTGCCTCAAAATGAATCAGGAAGAAATTAGGACAAATACACACAATCACCACAGATGTGTAATAATACCACCGATTATGCAGTGTTGGGGCGTGAAACATGCAGGGAAGGGTTTCAACACTCCTAGGACCATGGGATGCTGAAAGCCTGGTGATCACTGAGACACTGAAGTTGAATCTTCCAGATTGTAACCCAGGACAGGGGTTCCTTTTTTGTCCCAGTGTAGACAGGCTGCATTGTGAAAAGTTTAGAGTACTTTGTTCCAAATTGGGATGAAAAAGTAGGAGTGTTCCTCCATAATAAGCCACAGTGAATGGTTTCCTTTGTCCAGACACACCTTTCAATATCACTTGTCCCATGTGCCCTGACTGGGAGTTGAACCATGGCCTTCTGGTTCATAGGTCGGTGCTCAACTACTGAGCTACGCTGGCTGGGCGATCCATTCATATTATTCATATGGCTGAAAAGCACTTTCCAAGTATAGCTCATTTTGTAAAAGAGGATTTATTTTACAAAAGTGGTCTAGGCTTTTGCAAAACAGCCACACAGATTATGTTCATTGCCAGTGGCCAATTCTACCCTTTTCTCTGTCCCCTTCCTCCCTGACACTAGAGCTCTGAAAACCTTTACAGTATCAGGAACTGGAACTGGATGTGGTTCTTGTTTCAGGATTGTCTTCACACAAAAGGATGATGAGCTTTCAAGTATCAGTGGGAAATATTTTTTGGTTCTTTCCTTTGAAATTACACACCAGTAGATAACCAATGGGCTGGCTATGGGGAAAATTCTTTCTGGAAGCCAGGATCCTAGAGAATGTCCTACTGAGGTAGTAAGAGCTGACTGGAAAAGCTCAATGTGATGGCACGAACTCTCTTCTGAAGAGGCTGTAAGCCCCATACTCTGACAAACTTATTTTTACGTTTCCACCAAGTCTAGGTGCCTTATTTTGTTGACATTCCTGCACTGATGAGATGCAGAATGTGGGGAGATGGAGAGTGAGTCCAGGTAATCATTTGTGGTCTGAGGATCTATATATCCAGATATAACTTGGTGATTCCAATAGCTTCTGCCATTTTGTTATTTATTTCTTTTTAAAAATAGACTTTTATCGATTTCGGAGAGGAAAGGAGAGGGAAAGAGAGATAGAAACATCAATGATGAGAGAGAATCATTGATCGGCTGCCTCCTGCACGCCCCCCAACAGGGACGAGCCGGCAACCCAGACATAGGCCCGGACAGGGAATTGAACTGTGACCTCCTGATTCATAGGTGGATGCTCAACCACTGAGCCACACCGGCTGGGCTTGTTTTGTTATTTAAATATTGTTTTTGCACAGGGTAGGTGATCAACAAAGGTCAGCTCCTGTTGCTCTAGCCCAGTGGCCGGCAAACTGCGGCTCGTGAGCCACATGCGGATCTTTGGCCCCGTGAGTGTGGCTCTTCCACAAAATACCACGTGCGGGCGCGCACGTATAGTGCGATTGAAACTTCCTGGCCCATGCGCAGCAGTCGGTTTTCGGCCTGGGCGAGTCTATTTTGAAGAAGTACTGTTGATATTTGGCTCTGTTGACTAATGAGTTTGCCGACCACTGCAGTCTAATGTCCTGGGTGTGGCTAGCACACAGATGTTCAATGTCAGTTATCGGCGTGCTTGTGCATACAGTGGGTGCTGAGCAGGCATCAGACAAGGTCAGCTGCTGTGATTTGTGTAGGGTCTCCTTCCATGTTATGACTGAGAAGCACCCGGTATCTTGAGGGCAGAGAGGCACGAACACAGCCGCCCTTTCCGCACGCAGCCCATGAACTTGGCTATCCACAAGTTTTCCTCGAAGTACTGGCTTTTGGATGTTCAATTGTGAGAAACCAGGGGGTCACTTCAGCCTGATACAGTCCACCTCCTCCGTGGCCGGCACGCCGCTGGTTTTGAGGTCGAGCTCTGCGCTGGACTTGCTCCCGCGGTGGGAGGGGCGCCAGCGGAGCCGCATCATCCTCTTGACGTACTTCATGGTGTTGTTCTTGACCGTCACGAAGCACACGGTGTTGATCATGCTGTTGCTCATGGCGATGCACTCCACGACGTAGAAGGCCGTGAGGTAGTGCTTCTCCTTAACGAACACGGCGGGGAAGAAGTCACGCACGATGGCGAGGCCGTAGAAGGGCGCCCAGCACAGCACGTAGGCGGTGAGGATACACACGAGCACCAGGACCGTCTTCCGGCGACCGCGCAGCCGCTTCCGGATCTGCTCCGTCTGGAAACCTGGGACGGCCTTGAACCAGAGTTCCTGCGAGATCCGGGCGTAGCACAGGGTCATGATGACCACGGGGCCCACAAACTCGACCCCGAAGATGAAGAGGAAGTAGGACTTGTAGTAGAGCTGCTGGTCCACTGGCCAGATCTGGCCGCAGAAGGTCTTTTTCTGGTTTTTGACCATATTGAGGACCTTTTCGGTTGCGAAGTAGGCAGATGGGATGGCGATGAGAATGGACACCATCCAGACCAAAGCGATGAGGAAGGAGGCCGTTTGGTAATCCATCCGTGGTTTCAAGGGGTGAACGATAGCGAGATATCTGGTGGGGGAGGGAAGCCATCAATGATAATATGTACTTGAGAACATTTATTAGTTTCTTACTAACCCCAAACACACACAAAAGCGGGCACAGTGTCTCCACGAGATCCCATGCACCTATTTATCCAGCTTCAACAGCTTTGTCTTATGAGCAACATCATTTGGCATTTGGCGAGGTGAGTGGTGTAGAGGAAACAACATAGAACTTGGGTCAAACAGATGGAATCAATCCCAGCTTTCCCTTTGATTGGCTTTGGGGAATGGAGTGAATCATTCAGTCTCTCTGAGATGTATTTCCTCAACTGCAACATGGGAAAAAAATGACAACCACCTTGCAGGGCTGCTGCGAGCATTAAATACAATAATTTAGCAAAATGCTTGGCATGTAGTAGGTGTTCAGTAAGTACATAATGGCCTGTTATTATTATGTCCTATTGATACCACCTTGGCTTTCAATCTTGCCATTTTGCCCAAGGACACAATACTTTGAAAGCTTTTCTTTACAAATATCTCACGCTTTAGAGAGGTGGGGCCCCTTTCAAGGCAGTGGACTAGGGCTTTCTCTCTCCTCCCCTGCTGGTATCATCCTGCATTACTGAGCAGGAGAGTAGGATGGGCCTGAGGTGGAATCTATGGAATCTAATGAGAAGTAAATGACTTGTCCATGCTCACTTGGTACTGGGACCAGAATCCAGGTTTCTGATACAAAACTTCTACACCCACCTCCTTGGGCTTTCTCAAGCTCAGATGAGAAGGTGGGTGAAGTCACCTTGACACCCTAAAGCAAGGTGTTTGTTACCATCTATTTGCTTGGATGTATTTCTTGAGGTCAACATTCCTTCTAAGATTTCTATGACTTGACATAGCATTTCTTCCAGGCCCTCTACACATGAACCACATTCTTTTTGGCAATAGGTGGTCCTTCTGATATTTATACATAGTAGAAAAGGCACATTTACCTGGTTGCTTCTTAAGAAACTCCTGTTACATTAAAAACATACCCTACATTATAAAGACAAAAAGATTTCAGTGGGACAAAGGGGATGAGGAAAGTAATAATTTTCACTTGAGTAAACATCAGAATCACTCAGGGAATTAGATAGAAATATAGACCTAGCCCAGGAATTCCCATTCAGCACGGCTGCAGTAGGTCCCAGGAATCTTTGTTTCACTGTATTAAATGATAGCCTGGGGGAATTTTACAGTTGGTTGGTGGGTACATTTCATAAACATTGGTTTTAGGGCTGGAGAACCCCAGAATTGCAATAACAAAATTGTTTTGCCTGCAGGAATCTATATATAAAAGCCCAGCAACCAAATGGCAGGACCACCAGAACAACTGGTCAACCAGTCGAAATGACAGGCACTGACAACCAGGGGGCAGATGCTCAATGCAAGAGCTGCCCCATGGTGGTCAGTGCACTCACGCAGTGGGAACAGCCGCTAGGCTGAGGGGGATGAGCAGCACTCCCACAGCAGGAGCAGCAGCTCAGAGGGCAGGTCCACAGCTGCTCGGCTGACCAGGATGAGTGGTGCTCCCACAGCAGGCTGATCCCTGCAAGCCACTCCCCCCACAAATGAATCTGTGCATCAGGCCTCTAATTTTGTTATAAAAAAAGATGCCTCTTATGTATGTGCATTTTATCATAAACAATAATCAACTAGTTGATAAAAAGGACAATAAACCTAAATAACACTGAGAACTAGAGAAAAAATAAAAGGATTGAAAGGAGACAAAGGGGAAAAAAGATGATTAAAAACACATTATCAAGACAAGTCTCAGCACAGCTCACAATGGTGGACCAAGAGAATGTGACACCAACTGCTCCCCTCAAACAGCCCCTGCTGGCCTACAACACTTTGCAGAAATAAAACATGTGTCTGATTTATCATAAGCTGCTATTAGAAATTTTACTTTACAAATCTATAACAGAGCAAGGACTTCCAGAACATCTCATGCAAATATATGCAAATGAGCATATAAATGTATACAAAAAAGCAAAGGAAGCTTTTCCTTCCTTTTCTGCAAACAAGCCCTGTTGTTGATTTTATAGTCACCAGAAATAAGATTACATCCTGTATGATTCCATTTTTATGAAGTTAAATAACAGGGTTGTGTGTGGTGGGGGGATTGCCAGGTGAGGGGCATCAGGAAGTTTTCTAGGTGATGGAAATGTTCTATATCTTGATTTGGGGAGTGGTTACACAATAACTGGGTACAATCCATTTTGACTGGAAGCTGCCCTGGTTAACTCTCATATGGCTTCTAATTATTAAGCTGCCTAAACTTTCTGCTTTTGCTTTGTGTTTGATACAACTCATGGTCATGTAACATGCATACATCTGAAGCAGCTGTGATATCCGGGGCATAGTCCAGAGCTGGGGGGCTCAGGAGCCTCACTCTTGTTCCCATTTGGGAGAACATGAGCCACAACTGGACAAACCAGGTCCCCTCTTGCCTCATGATAGCTCAGCGAGCATTCACATATGAAGCAATGTGAACAGTCAGAGCTGAAGTGAGGAAAGGGGCAGCCTGGTCCAACCCCCATCTTTATCCCTGCCCAACACCCTCACCTGTCAATAGCGATGGCCAGCAGAGCATTCGTGGAGACGTAGAGTGATACTGTACGCAGGTAGTTGACTGAGGCACAGAGCACATGGCCGTGCTTCCAGGAGAGCTGCCGCACCACATAGTAGTCCATCTCGAAGGGGCAGCAGACGATGGCCACCAGGAAGTCAGAGATAGCCAGGTTAGCAATGAGCAGGTTGGTGAGGTTCCGTAGCTTCTTATAGCGGGCGAGGGCAGCAATGAAGACAAAGTTGCCAATGCCGCAAACCAGCATGATGCCAGCCAGTGCGATACCGATGACTATCTTGGCTGCGAAGAAGGTCCGAGTCTTGGTCATGTCCTCATCCTCATCCAGAGGGAGGTCATAATCAACATAACTGAAGTTGAGGGGAAGGGAGGAGACATGGTCTTGGAATGGGTTCAAGTTGGGTGCAAAACTGGTGTTTACATTCTGGGTGGCCATGATGAAGCTTGCAGGTGGAGTGGTGGGTGGAAGTCTCAGGATCTGAGTACGCTGAACTCGGGGGCCAGATCTCTCCTCTCACGAGGCCAGTGAGCCTAGCACCCTGCCCACATCTTTGGGAGAGTCAACATGCCATCCTGGATCCTGGAAGGAGACACAACCAGTGCACAACGTATAGGAGAACACCTGGTAGCATCCCCACAGAGCCCCCAGGTAATGCCAACTAGACCTGGAGCCCACCCACAGACAGAGCTACCCAGGGTACAGGGGAGAGGAGACATGAGATCTAGAAACTGGGAAATCCTCCATTGTGTTGGGCTGTCAGGAGGGACTGGGCATAGGATAGGCTGGACTCTCCAGAGACAAGCAAGAAGAATGTGTATCTTGGCCTTTTCCCCCCCAGGAGCAGGGACCCCTTTGACTGCCCAGTCACCACTCTCCCCTTCCCCAACAGCCTTCCAGGGGTCCTGGAAGTTCTCCAGGGCTGCTCCAGGCAGCTGGCCCAGGCATCTATGGTGTCACATTGCGGTGCCATCCATTAGCCAGGGACATGAAGCCGAAGGACTCGGATGCAACAGGGTCTTTCCTCTACAGCAGGGCACTGTTCCCTTTCCTGGCCAAACCACGGACTTGGAAATGACCAAATCTATCTTCATGTGGACAGACTGAGTCATCTTGGGCAGTGATTTATGCTCTCTGCGTGCCAATCTTGTAAACCAAACTCCTGCTGCCCAGCCCAGGGCCTGGCACATAGTGGGGGACCCATAGGAATCTGTCGAATGAATGAATGAGGATCCTAACCAGGATCCACAGGTGGAGGGGGCTGTGGGCGGGAGGGCATTCTTCAAGGGCTACCCTACATTCTGGGAACCAGCTGTAGAAAGACATCCTTTGTCTGCTTTCCCTCCCCCCTTTGTCCCCAGTTCCCCTCCCAGAATCAGCGCTGACTGGGAAGCACCATGGCCTGTCACCAAGGTGTGTGTCCTCGGAAAGTGGCAGCTGCTCCAAGACTGGGCCTAACTGAAAACAGCCCTGCTAGGGGCGGGCAAGTGTCAGCGAGGACCCAGGAGGGCCTGAGGACTGCGCTGTCCTTTATAGCCTCAAATGCCCACGGGAGAGGAAATAAAATCCCTGAGGTACTGAGCCTTCAGGAGATAGAGTGTCACAGAGTTCAAGACATCGGAGGGGTCGGAAAAAGAACGTGGACCTCCAACCCCCGAAAAGGGGGCCCCAGTCGCCCAGCTGTGAACCGCCTGCACCCCGTCTCCTTAGCACACCTGGAAAGACTCCAAGTGTGGGTGCCGCGGGATGCTGGTAGCAAGAAGTGGACCCAACTGGACAGGCGGTATGGCCCCGCCCTCTGAGAGGAGGGGTAGAGCCAGGGACCTGCCCCGGGAAGGGAGGAAGGCCGGTGCGAGCACAACATCCGCTGCATCCCAGAGCTAAAGCCTTCCGGAGGTGAAGTCCAAGTCCCAGTGGCTTTCGCAGACGGGGTGTCCTTCCTCCCGGTCGCCTCTAGGACTTACGGGAGGCCCAGTGCCCGACAGTACAGCCCCAGATGGAGAAGCAGGAACCACGCCCTCTTGGCCACTACGCTCCGCGCCTTTCCAGTCCGGGGACCCCAGAGGAAGGGGGTGCACCCGGACCGGGCAGACCAGCGTCCCATTCCACGGGATGCATCCTTGACCAACTCGCCCAGGAACCCTCTCCTCTCCTTCCCGATTAACCATCCAGTGTGGCCGCGCGGTCCCCAGAGGAGCCGCCTCGGCAGAGGCGAGAATCAAGCCAGAAATCCGGGCTCCAAAAAGCAAAGCGTGCGGGGCCTCGGGGCGAGAAGAAAACTGCGGATGGGGATAGATACGGTGAGAGGAAATTTCCCCTCAAGAAGGCGCATCCCTCCCCACGCCATTCCCTGTAAATTGGCGCTCGCCCGCTAGCATCCTTCACCCCCGCCCGCCCCTCCCGCCCCATTCTCATTTACCATCCTCTGCCCGGTCTCTTCTCACACCAACTCCTCTACTTTGAGCCATTCCGGGTGCATCCCGAGGAAGGCCGGAGGCAAAGCAGCCCCAATCCCTCCGAGAAAAAGTGGGCGTCGGCTACCAATGGAGCTTTGGTCCGCCGCCTCGGCACTTACCTGCTCCCCTGCCTCCTTCCCGCGCGCTCCGTCGCTCGGTCCGATCGGTTCCCGCTCTGGCGACGCGGACTTGCACTTGCAAAGGCGCAGCGTGGTGTGTGTGTGTCTGTGTGTGTGTGTGTGTGTGTGTGGGGGGGGGTCTCTCTTTCTTAATTGCCCCAGCGCGCTCCCCGGGAGCGTAGCGGTCTCGGTCCTGCAGCGGGATTTGGCGCTCGCCTTTGCCGGGCTTGGAACCGCGGACCCCGCCCGAAGCGCCCCGCCCCGCGCTCAACTCCGCCCCGGGTGTCCCCGCCCGCTTCTTAGCCGAGGCGGACGAGGGGCGCTGGGCTCCCCCTCACCTGGTGCGCTCCTGGGAGCCGGACGCACGGAGCTCTGGCCGCGCTGGCGGGCGTTCCCAGTCCGCGGAGTCGGCCCCTCGCAGAGGTTTCTGCGCCTTGCCACCCTAGTGTCATAGGGTTTAGCCGATGCGATCTGGAGCAACCTGCAAGGCTCTCTGCGCCCCACACGCGCGCCCCGCGGGAAGCGGCCGTGCAGGAGCTGAGCGTCTGGTCTCCAGCAGGATCCCTGTGCCAGAGTTCGCTCCCGCTACACGGGGACTCCTTCAAGAGGAGTCCGGGGTGCAGTCCATCGTGCCCGAGAGCTGGTGCTGGGGAGACTCCTACGAGCGCAGAGAGAGCTTTGTGGGCTGGTGGAGGAGGAGGAGGCCCCTTCCGAGGAAGCTGGGGGTCGAGTGAATGCTCAAAGCTCTGACTCTGAAGACCTCACCAAAACCCCGCGATGCCCACCACGGCCAGATTCCTGGGCCATTCAAAGGCCATCCCCGCTGGACTTCTGCCTGTCTGTTGGGAGACTCCGGAGTCCTTCATTGGCTTCCAACAGGCTTTGGTTTTAGGCAATTTTCATGACCTCCCTGGTCCTTGATTTCCTTACTCAATGAGCGAGGGGATTAAACTCTATAAAGAGCTGCTATTTCTAATGACCCCCCCCCCTACTCCCTATCCCTCACCCCCTGGAAAGCGCAGAGGGAAGCTCTGGATTTTCAGAATCTGAACTGGGAGTTGTGACAGGAGACTGAACCCTCCACTGATATATCCCAATATTGCACGCTTGGAATATGGACTCTGTTTTGTCAGATCTTTCCATCTTCTCAGAGCGTCTGGAATCTCTGAGATTTATACTCTGTTGGCTAAAACAAAACAACAAAACCTATGCTGGCCAAAGACAGCATATCTCAAAATGAATGCAGTTCCTTTGAGCACCAACTTAAAATTCCTGATATCCTTTGAGTGGTGACATTTTGTGATCCCCACCTTATGTGGAATTAACCCTGCCCTCCTCCCCTTTCAAAAAATATTTTCCCAACTTTATTGAGATACAAATTACATATAACATTGCATAAGTTTAAGGTATACAATTTGATGACTTGATATATGTATATATTGTGAAATGATTACCATAATAAGGCTAGTCAACACATCCATCACCAAGCATAATTATAATGTGTATGTGTGTGGTGAGAACTTTTAAGATCTGATTTCTTAGCAACTTTCAAGTATTCCATATCAACGTATGGAGCACTTCTTCATTCTTTCTTTTATAATTGTAAATGGCCCATTGTGTGGATATACTACAGGTTTTAAAAAATGTTTCTGTTGCTAGACACTTTGGTTTAATATTTTCAAAATATGCCTGTTAAATTACGAATTGGATTATATCCCAATTTTTAGCAAACATAGTGCTATACATAGTGCTATAATAGAAAATGAATAGTTCTTCAATGAATAACTATACATAGCATCTTTTTGTATATATGCAAATGTATTTGAATGACAATTTTCTAGAAGTGGCATTGCTCAAGACATGAAAGCATTTAAAAATTTTGTAGAGATTGCCACATTGAACTTCATAGTGGTCTAACCATTTCTCACTTTTGCAGTAAGCAGTCTTTGGTAGAGGTGACTGTCGGGACTGCGTTTGAATCATTAATCAAATGTCTGTTGAGATCAAAGAAGGCGATGTTGAAAAGCATGATTTCTCAGGAATGCAGTTCTCTCAACCTGTTCTCAGTTCTGAATGCAGGGTGTCTTCTCAGTCATTTAAAGTATGGTGGGGAAGGGCGCTGTTCCTGAGAACATTACCTCAAGTTACTTTTTTGTGGTCTGTGTGTCTCTCTTGTAGTAATTAATTATAAATTTAAAAATGCACCCTTGTTGCCCAGCTGACATGGCTCAAAGGTTGAGCATGGATTCCAGGTCAGGGCATATACCTGGGTTGCAGGTTGGATCCCCAGTAGGGGGTGTGCAGGAGGCAGCCAATCAATGATTCTCTTTCATCATTGATGTTTCAATCTCTTTCCCTCTCTCTTCCTCTCTGAAATCAATAAAAACATATTTTTAAAAAATATATTTTATTGATTTTTTTACAGAGAGGAAAGGAGAGGGATAGAGAGTTAGAAACATCAATCAGCTGCCTCCTGCACACTCCCCACTGGGGATGTGCCCGCAACCAAGGCACATGCCCTTGACCGGAATCTAACCTGGGACTCTTCAGTCCGCAGGCCGATGCTCTTTCCACTGAGCCAAACCAGTTAGAGTAATGAAAACATATTTTTAAAAAACGTACCCTTGTAGACACATTGTTAGGTAAGCTCTTTAATTACTTTAAAAGTTAATGTAATTAAGCTTTATAAATTATAGTTGGAAAAGGTGGAGCATAATTCAATGGTTCTAGGTGCACTGACACTGGCTCCTCTCATTCAATCCAGCTGGCTTCCACAGGGTTCTGGGAGGAGTGGCTCTGTAAGACACGCTGGTTGGCTCACTTGATCCAGGCAAAGTATGTTTTCCTTTCAGATTTCCTGGTGCCTCCAGGGCAGTACCAGGAAGATGGCAGTCCAGAGGGAGATGAAGCATCAGATTGGCATCCAAATTGGAAAGGAGAAAGTAAAACTCATTATTCACAGATCACATAATATTATACATAGAAAATCCTAAAGATTCCTCCAAAAACTCCTAGATCTAATAAATGAATTCTGCAAGATAGCAGGATATAAAATTTAATAATCAGAAATTGGTGGAATTTTTAGACACCAATAATGAACTGTCAGAATGAGAAATTAAGAAAAGAATTCCATTTGCTATTACAATGAGAAGATAAGGTACCTAGGAATAAATTTAACCAAAGAGGTATAAAACCTCTACTTGGAAAATTATAGAATGCTGAAGAAAGAAATTGAGGAAGATACAAAAAAGTGGAAAGCATATGCTGCGTTCATGGATTGAGGAATTAACATTATTAAAATGTCCATACTGCCGAAACCGGTTTGGCTCAGTGGATGGAGCGTCGGCCTGCGGACTGAAGGGTCCCAGGTTCGATTCCGGTCAAGGGCATGTACCTTGGTTGCGGGCACACCCCCAGTGGGAGATGTGCAGGAGGCAGCTGATTGATGTTTCTCTCTCATCGATGTTTCTAACTCTCTATCTCTCTCCCTTCCTCTCTGTAAAAAATCAATAAAATATATTTTAAAAAAATAAAAATAAAATGTCCGTACTACTCAGAGCAATATATAAATTAAATACCGTTCCTACTAAAATACCAATGGCATATTTCACAGATCTAGAACAAATACTTCAAAAACTTATATGGAACCTAAAAGACCCTGAGTAGCTGCAGCAATCTTGAGAAAGGACAAAGCTGGAGGGATCACAAAACCTGATATCCAACTATACTACACGTTCATTGTAATCAAAACAGCCTGGGCCTGGCATAAGAACATATCGATCAGAGGAACAGAACAGAGAGCCCAGAAATCAACCCATGCCCTTATGATCAATTAATATTTGACAGGAGGCAAGAGCATACAATGGAGTAAAGACAGTCTCTTCAAAAAAAAGAAACTACACTACCAACTAACACCTATACATAAGAATAAACTAAAAATGAATAAAAGAATTAAATGTAAGTCTATGAGTCTATCATCTTTGCATCTGCCTCAAATGCCAAAGCAGTCCCCTCATTGTGCCTGATGGTAGCTCAATAGGTTACTCCAGTTAGGATTTTTCTCTAAGCCCTTTTAGCCTCACTTTAAAAACTATTATTAATGAAACTGGCACACCGGTCCTGAGCTGTTCAGAGCCTCCCTCGCTAAGATCAAAAGGGCTTTCCGGTCGCGACTCCGCCTTAGTCTCCCGGGTCCCCAGACTTACAGGTGACAGAACCGAGTCCCGGGGGTTATGAACTGGCCACAGTCTCAGCATGGTCAGTGGGGAGAAGACGCCATTCGGGTCTAGATTCAGGCTGTCTTCTCGGCCAGCCCGGGAACCGGTCTCAGGGGCCCGTTCCCCTCCCTCGGAAGCTCTTTTTTTTTTTTTTTTTGGAAATTTTTATTTAAATGTCTTATGTTCCCTTTTAACCAACACCAAAAAGAGAAAACGTGTTTTTTTGCCGTTCCAAACAGGAGAGTCACTTCAGAGAGGAGCTGGCCCCAGATCGGAGGCCTTCCTCTGGTGCATCCGCAGGTGGCGGTGGTAGGTGGAGGACTGGCGGTAGGTCCTCCCGCACTGAGCGCACGCGTAGGGCTTGGCGCCCGTGTGGATGCGCTCGTGCGCCTGCAGGTTGGTCCTGTGGTTGAAGGCGCGGTCGCAGCGGCCGCAGCGGAAGGGCTTCTCCTCCGCGTGGATCAGCTCATGCACGCGCAGGTCCGAGGCCTGGAAGAAGCCTTTGCCGCACGTGGCGCAAACGAAGGGCCGCTCGTTGTTGTGCCTCCTCTGGTGCAGCTGGAACCGACAGAGGTACTCGAAGACCCGGGGACACCGGTCGCACCGGTACAGCTTCCGGGCGCCCCCCGCCTCCCGGGGCGCCTCCTCTCGGGGAGGCTCTTCCTGGGCAGTGGGGGCGCCCGGACTTGCTGAACCGGAGCTGCGTGGACTCTCCCCGGACACCTTGCCCTCTGCGGGCCTCTGAGGACTCTCTTCCTCCAGGATGAGCCTAAAGGGGGGTTGGCGGTCTGGACTGGAAAGGTTGTCGCCATCTGCATCTGCATCTGCATCTCCTGGTGCTGCTGGTCGGGGTGTCTCTGGGGGAGTCGGGGAGGGTGTCCCCGGGGTGAGCGCCGTGGCGGCTGCTGCTGAGCGCTGCTCCTGGAGGTGGGCCAGGATCTGTCCCGTGGGCATGTTCTCCGAGAACAGGGCTTCCTGCTCCCCCATGCTGACATGGACCAAGCTGGGGGGCCTCAGGTCCTCATCCCCCAGGTGCTCCATGAACGCCTCCAGGTCTCTGCCACTCGACTCCCACTTCTCCCGCCATGCGGCCCTCTCGCTGCTGGGCCTGTTGAGCAGGAACTGCTCCACTGACAGTTGGACAATCATCTGCTGCTTACTGTGCGTGTCTGGCTGCAGCCACGAGCGGAAAGACCGCAAGATGCCCTGCAGCTCCGCCTTCCCAAGCCCGCGGCTGCCCTTGTTCAATGAGATGAGCCCAGGGCTGGGGAAGCCGACCTCCTCCGCCTCCTCTCCCTCCTGGTTTATGGGTCCTCCGCGAGATCTAAGCTTGAAGTTTTCTGCCCGGGGACCGTTCCTGGCTGGTTCGTCTTGAGATGCCATTCTCCTCACGGACACGGACGTTCACGCTGGGTGATCCTGGCCCAACGCTGAGCTGCTGTGGGGCTTGGCTGTCAGCTATGTGCTCTGATGTGCTTCCCAAGGCTCCTCCTTTTATAGGTCCGGTGTCGGCAATGAGATTAAAGCCTCCTCACGGACACAGACCTTCACGCTGGGTGATCCTGGTCCAACGCTGAGCTGCTGTGTGGCTTGGCTGTCAGCGCTGGTGGCTCTGATGTGCTTCCCTGTTGGGGTCCAGCCCCAGCAGGTCCAGGGGTTCCCAAAGGTGTGGATGGAGTCGGCGAAGAAGGAATGACACGAAGACAGCGTTCAGTTGATCGGCAGCCTAGTCAGGTTCTCTAGCCAGGTTCTAGCCAGGATCTCCAGCCAGGTTCTGTGTATTATTGTTTTGTTACATCTGTATTTATACCAGTTGATTGTAATCCTATCAATTTCTATTCCAAAGGTTAGGGCGTTTCTTATCTCCATTCCAGGGAGTAAAGATTATGTAGCTTAAGCGTGATTGTTCATAGTTAAAGTGATTAACTACCCGCCTTAGCACTTAGTTTAGGGGTTTTATTCCCTCCCTAACTTCAGGGAAAAATCCTTACCTGGGGAAACAACCTTTCTCAGAGAGGTGACCTTGGTTTAAACACATAGCACCAAGAAGGGGAGCAAACATATTAAGAACAGTATGCCATATACGCCAGGTCCCTTGAAACATATGCTGTGCAGATGTTTCTTCCCTGCAGCGACTGTTAATTTACATGCACTATCATTTAAAAAATAAAAAAGGAGCTGAGACCGGTTTGGCTCAGTGGATAGAGCATCGGCCTGCGGACTCAAGGGTCCCAGGTTCAATTCCGGTCAAGGGCATGTACCTTGGTTGTGGGCACATCCCCAGTGGGAGATGTGCATCAGGCAGCTGATCGATGTTTCTTTCTCATCGATGTTTCTAACTCTCTATCTCTCTACCTTCCTCTCTGTAAAAAATTAATAAAATATATTTTAAAAAATAAATAAATAAAAAAATAAAAAGGGGGGAATTTGCTGGAAGCTGGTGCATCCTTGCTGCTTGACACAGTCGCTAAAGCCCCTGGGCAGGAGCGAGGGGCCATCCTCGCACACACTCCTTGTCTGCAGGGCCATCGGACCTTCTCACTAAGGGGCATGCAAAGGTGAGCGTTGTCTCATGGACATTCTGGTCAGGGTTGGTTCTCAACCTGTGGGTCGAGACCCCTTTGGGGGTCGAACAACCCTTTCACAGGGGTCACCTAAGACCATCGGAAAAACATATATAATTACCTATTTTTGTGATTCATCACTATGCTTTAATTATGTTCAATTTGTAACAATGAAAATACATCCTGCATATCAGATATTTACATTATGATTCATAACAGTAGCGAAATTACAGTTATGAAGTAGCTGAAAGGGCGAGGACTACGCCCTCCATCTTGCCCCAGGGTAAGGGCTACGCCCTCCATCTTACCCTGGATCCTCCATTTTGGGGCAGCCATGTGCTCGGCAAGGCTTCTTCCCGGAAGCCTAAGCCTCTGCTAGCCACACCCAGGACTTCTTTAAACTAACGAATGACAATCAAGGGAAGTGCGCACCATAGATATGACCACATCCTGTGTAACAAGACATCGACTTGCACCTGGCCAATCGGCAGGGCCCACAGTCCTTTCTCCTCCCCTTACTCCAACCCCCTATAAAACCCTCTTCCCACAGGGCTAGCTCTCTCTCTCTCTGCCACTTGCTGCTGAGTCAGTAAGGAGGGTAGGGGAGCCAAGCCCGGGCTTGAATAAAGACTCTTATGCTTTTGCATCGGACACGGCTGGCTCCCTGGTGTGGTTTCTTGGGGATCCTGAAATCTGGGCATAACAGTAGCAACGAAAATAATTTTATGGTTGGGGGTCACCACAACATGAGGAACTGTATTAAAGGATCGCGGCATCAGGAAGGTTGAGAACCACTGGTCTAAGAGGAAGAGATTAGCTGGGTTTACCAGCTTTCTCTTACAGACTGACACCCCTAGGGAATGGCCAAGCAGGCTTACTTCTTAATCTAGCCCTAGTCATTACCTCTCCACCCTCCAATCACCCCCTCCCCCCCACACACGCACCCCTTTCCTCATAACCTCAGGGCTGTTTCCAAAGTAAGATGCAAATGACTACAGGGCTCTCCCAGTCAAGGTTAATGTCTAGGCATCTTCTTTTTGTTGCCTCTTAAGGGAGTCTCTTGCTACTTTGCATGCTACTTGTTTCTGGAACTGGAGAAACACAAACAAAAGGATTAATTTGGCTAGTGCTCCAGAGAATTTGGAAGGTAAACAACTGCTTTCTTCTTTTTTTCTTTTTCTTTTTGTCAAAATGGCAATTAAGAGGGGGAGATTAAAGAAAGAAAAATAAATGCAGTTTTCATTTCTACAGTAGACTGATAGGCTGGTGAATGGCTGAAAAGGTAATGAGCACCAGAATAGTTTTGGATTAACAAATCCAGTTCAGGGATAAAAGTCTCTCTTCCCTCAATTACTTTCTCCCCAAAGTACCCAAACATGGCATAGACCAAAGCTTGCCAATTTAGATTGAGAATTTGTGTTCATAAGATTGTGTATAAAAAATGTTTTTACACTAGAGACACAAATCTGCATAAAAATTTGGTTTCAAGTAAAATCAGGTTTTGTTATTTTTCAGTCAGCAGTGTTACTTTTGATTTTGTTGTGGATGAGAAAAATATAACTATGTGAAAAAAAAGGGGCTCTGTGGGAAGTAACCTCACAGGGTGATCTGATCATACATTCTTAAACGGGCAGTTCAAGGTGGGTACTCACACCCCAGGCAGATAATTTATTTAGTAAAAGGCTTATCTTTGCCTTAGGCAAGCCCTGCCCATTGTTTTTGTGCATCCAGGTGAACACACCTTTGAGATGACTCTTTTCAGACCCCTCCTTCTAATGCATGAACCGCCCTTCTAGACCCTTCCTTGCAAGGGAGTACATAATCTTAACTATTTTATAATCCAATCCTGGCCTTTCTTTGTTCCACCTTCCTGTAATCTTCCTTATGTCCTCTCCTTACCATTAGATGCATAAAAGAAACTGCAAAAACTGAGAATTTGAGATCTTGTTCCCTGGCGTGTACATCATCAGTTTGGCTCAAAAAAACTCATAGAAATTCTTTAAAAAAAAAAAGAAACTGGCACACCAAGCCAGGCTGGCCCTATAAGAAGTTAATGTTCTGTAACAGAAAGTTGATCATATTTCAGATACTTTATACATGTGAAAAAAAAACCTCAGAAAAAGATAAGACAACATGTTAACAGTGATTATCTGCAGATGGTAAAATTGTGAATGAACTTTTTTTTGTTAACATTTATTTATTTATTATTTGTTTTCATTTTTATTGATTAAGGTATTACATATGTGTCCTCATCTCCCCATTTCCTGTCCCCCCAACCACCCCTGCTCATGCCCTCACCTCCCTGGTGTCTGTGTCCATTGGTTATGCTTATATGCATACATATGAGTCATTTGGTTGATCTCTCCCCCGTACTCCCACCCTCCCCTACCTTCCCTCTGAGGTTTGATGGTCTGATCGATGCTTCTCTGTCTCTGGATCTGTTTTTGTTCATCAGTTTATGTTGTTTATTACATTCCACAAATGAGTGAGATCATGTGGTATTTATCTTTCTCTGACTGACTTATTTCGCTTAGCATAATGCTCTCCAGGTCCATCCATGCTGTTGCAAATGGTAGGAGTTCCTTCCTTTTTACAGCAGCATAGTATTCCATTGTGTAGATGTGCCACAGTTTTTTAATCCACTCATCTGCTGATGGGCACTTAGGCTGTTTCTAAATCTTAGCTATGGTAAATTGTGCTGCTATGAACATAGGGATGCATATATCCTTTCTGATTGGTGCTTCTGGTTTCTTGGGATATATTCCTAGAAGTGGGATCACTGGGTCAAATGGGAGTTCCATTTTTAGTTTTTTGAGGAAACTCCATACTGTTCTCCACAGGGGCTGCACCAGTTTGCATTTCCACCAGCAGTGCACGAGAGTTCCTTTTTCTCCTCATCCTCACCAGCACTTGTCATTTGTTGATTTGTTGATGATAGCCATTCTGACAGGTGTGAGATGGTACCGCATTGTCGTTTTGATTTGCATCTCTCGGATGATTAGTGACTTTGAGCATGTTTTTATATGTCTCTTGGCTTTCTGTATGTACTCTTTTGATAAGTATCTATTTAGGTCCGTTGCCCATTTTTTTGATTGGGTTGTTTATCTTCCTTTTGTTAAGTTGTATGAGTTCCCTGTAAATGTTGGAGATTAAACCCTTATCAGAGATAGCATTGGCAGATATGTTCTCCCATGCAGTGGGCTGTGAATGAACTTTTAATTTGTCTTTATTTTTAAATTGATGCACAGAAAACTTGGATTACTTGTCTAATACAGAATGGACATATACAAACAAAAGCAATAAATTATCCAGATATTTGGTACCATGTAAACAACATTTCTTTTTGATACTTTCAATGTTTTTGAAAAGATAATTGGGGGATGAATTAAACCAATCAGATAGTTTTGCACAAATGTTTTCTAATAGCCAAATAATTGGTCAAGAACCATCTGCTCAAATGATTAAGTAGTGAAGAGGCTTCCCATTTGAGCAGATGGCTCTTAGCCAATTGTTCGGCTATTAGAAAGGGAAACACATTGGTGAACCTTCCTTAGTCAGGGGGCTCCATCTATAGAGAAATATTCA